GCGATCTCGGCTCACCGCAACCTCCGCCTCCTGGGTTCAGGCAATTCTCCTGCCTCAGCCTCCTGAGTAGCTGGGATTACAGGCACGCGCCACCATGCCCAGCTAATTTTTTGTACTTTTAGTAGAGACGGGGTTTCACCATGTTGACCGGGATGGTCTCGATCTCTTGACCTCGTGATCCACCCGCCTCGGCCTCCCAAAGTACTGGGATTACAGGCTTGAGCCACCGCGCCCGGCCCCATGTTTGTGTTTTCCACGGATGTTTCAGAAAAGTAGAAGTCGGGGAAGACACATTTACTCTGTGTGTGTGTGTGTGTGTGTGTGTGTGTGTGTGTGTCCCATTTGCCTGTGACCTGTTCCCTGATGCTGCAGCCCAGTCATCTGCTGGTGGTGGTGAAAGAATTGTTTGAGTTTCTGCTGCCTTGAATTTTACAAAGGCGAAATAAGTAGCAGTGTATGGTTTCTATTTACTGCCAGCTCCCTGTAGGTCTCTGTTAGAGGTTTCCTTGTAACTTCAGGGAAGCCGTTGAGCTTTTTGGATGCAACAAGTATATTCCTTTTGGCCTAATGAATAGGAGACTAGTGGAGAAGAAATAACCAGACTGCTCTTCAGCTGGCAATAAGGTATTCAAAACTAACCCTTCCTGCAATGATTTTCCAGTTCCGTGCCCACCACTTAATACCCTATTGCTTTAAACCACAATATCTTTTGTCTCCTTGTCTAGTTTGTTTCAAAAGGCTGTGAATCAGTGGAGATGACTCTGCGAAGAAATGGCCTAGGACAGCTTGGCTTCCACGTCAACTATGAGGGCATCGTGGCGGATGTGGAGCCCTATGGTTATGCCTGGCAGGCAGGGCTGAGGCAGGGCAGTCGCCTGGTGGAGATCTGCAAGGTGGCTGTAGCCACTCTTAGCCATGAGCAGATGATCGATCTCCTGAGAACATCTGTCACGGTGAAGGTTGTCATCATTCCTCCCCATGATGACTGCACCCCACGGAGGTAGGTCTGAGGAGGCAGCTGTGGGCCTGAGACTTGAGTGCAGGGTTTGTGTACCATGTAGAACATCTCTTAGCAGGTAGTGGGGTAAGGTGTTGTGTAGAACAATAGATTGTATATGATGCTAAATGTTTCATTTGTGGAGCCTGACTCAGGACAAAGCTCCCTTTCAGTGTGTGGCAACAGCAGCTGGAAAGAATGACTAAATGAGACCATTACTGGGATTTACATCTCTGAATATATAAAGTTGCCATTACAGATAGAGAAGTCTGGCAATATCCGTCTTAAGAATCTTCCAATAGGAGCTGAGAAACATGAAACATTTAACATTAAAAGACACTCAGCATCTCAAATTGTCAGATTTTTTTTGTTTTATGTTCCATGATGCTGTTACTCTCTTTTCTCTCCCAATTGCTGCCCAAAACTCAGCAATTGTTTGGACCTTTGCTGCCTCAGCCTGGCAGCTGCTTTTCCTAACTGTATCTGCATGTGCTAGGAATTGGCTTCAGGTGAGCTGCCCCTGCTCATGGTGCTTTGGCATTTTGGTTCCTAGTCTTTTCCAGAAGGGAAAGCCTAGGAGCTCCCTGCCCTACACAACCCCTCACCGCTCCTGCCAAGCCAGCAACACTGTTGAAAATTTAATTTCTCTGTCTCTGGGAAGGTTTTTTGATGGAACAAATTTAATCAACTGTTTATTTTCTCCTTTGGACACGTACATGCTTTTTTTTGCTAGTTTTTAAGATTTTTATTTTATGCCATTGTTTTCTTAGAATTTATCTTAAGCTTTGGTAATTGATTCTTAGGCCTTCTAAAGCCAAGACAGTGTTCTGTGTCCTATTTTCCCTCTAAGATGACCAGTCCTACACCCTGAGCTCTCATGGATTTATGAATATCAGGTGGTAGAAAGGTAATGGTGATAATGGGCTTTGTGTCTTTTTTAAAAAAGTAAAAGTGCAGCAAATATATATGTGTGTGTGTGCATGTGCGTGTGTGTTTTATATACTTTGCTCAGGATAGTATTTCCTAATACTGCTTACCTCCTAGGGGGTCCAGAGATTATGTGCGTATGTCAAAATATAGAAAAATTCATTTGTCTGATAATTTGAAGAACTGCCTTTTGGATGGCTGCATTTCCCTGGAAATCAAAATGTGAACTTCTAATTTCACCTGTTTTAGAGAGAAGGAAATATTCAGAAACTGCCCTACCCATATACCCTGCCTTAGTTAACTAGGCCTAATGAACCCTATTAGCTTTTTTTGGTTTCCCAAGTATATCATCATTAAATGTTAAGTAATGTGCTGAACTGTGATTCAAAAAATGATGTGAGGTGGCTCAGAAAGGCAGCAGGGTTCTTGCTTATGACAGTCTCCAGCCTTGCTGCATTCCTTCTCTTGTCTCTTTCTCTGCTGTCACTCCTTCAAATTGTCTGCTTTATTGCTCTGAACAGGCAGTTAAAAACGGAAGAAGATAACTAATCTTTGTAAATTGTCAACCTTAGTTACCTACAGTAAAGAGTTATAGACATTAGTCTAAGAACTGTCTACTGAAATATGGAGCCTTTGACCTCGTGATGCCATCCTGCCTTCTCAGAGGTCTTTCCCTTGTAGCTAAGCTCCCAGGGTTATATGTGGGAAAGGAGAGGGAAATGGGTTTGTGTGACTGTGGGTGGAATGAGACAACAGTACAGACATTGGCGTTGTAAATACCTGTTACTAGAAAGACAGATAAGAGTCCTGGACCTGGATAGATGGAGCCATGATAGGAGGTATACTAGACTAGGTATATTGTGGTGTGTCAGTGAGAATAACTAATGTACTGAGTTTTTTGCTTTAATATGCCAGACCCTGGAAAAAGCACTTTTTATGAATTAGTGAATTTAATTCTTATAACAACCTTTCTGATGATAGTGTTAGTATTATTCCTGTTTTAAAACCAACCAAGACTCAAAGGTTAGTAACTTGCTAAGCTCATCTGGCAAATTTAGGTCTAACATCAGAGTCCAGGCTCTGAACCACCACTTTGTGTGCTTGGAGCACAGATCCTTTCCTTATACACCAGAATCAGCAGTGATGTGCTGGTAAGTTGGCTTTCTGTTGGGGGCAGGGGAACAACTTTATTTGTAGTGTTTGCTGATTCCTGTGGTGCAGATACTCCCACTGTGGCTGGTTCCAAGCTTCTGATGTGATGTCACTGCAGGCAGCATTGGGGTAGATGGGATGATTGCCAGTTCCAGCACACCAGGGAGTGAATGAGCTGTCACAGCACTGTGAGGCTCTCAGGCCTTCCCAGAGGAGCCAGTGGATCTGTCAGTGACCTGTCGTTTGGGTGCCAGGAGGGGAGGCTAGGGAAAGGATTAGTGCACTGCACAGGGCCCCTTTCACTACAGTTTCCGTCTGAAAAGCCATCAGACCTGGGCAGGGCAAGTGGGAAATGCTTTGATACCTTTGGAAGGCTGAAAGCCTGCTCCTCTCTCCTTCCTTTAGAAATAACCTCAGAGAGGGCTCTGGGGAGTGGTTCACGCCTGTAATCCTAGCACTTTGGGAGGCCGAGGCGGGCAGATCACCTGAGACCAGGAGTTCCGTACAAGCCTGGCCAATGTGGCAAAACCCTGTCTCTACTAAAAATACAAAAATTAGCCAAGCGT